AATTTTGCTTCTGTGTCCATTATTCCTCAGCATCTATAAGCCTCATGCAAATCAAAATAAGTAAAAGCTCAGCAATAACCTCATATGGAAATCTAGTTGCACATGCCAAAACTTTTAGTATAATCCCCATTGAGTGCATTTCTTAGTAGGCCATTTGCCTTTTTTATACTAAAATATCTTGTTAAATTATTGCATCTCAATATCTCAACCAATTATTCACATCCTAATATTGTATTTCCACAATCAAAATATTTTTAGTAAATGCATTTCAGTATCTGAATGAATATTCATTTCCCTCATTTAGTTATCAAGAGAACAGAAGAACATAAATAAAATAATATTTCTAGGACTATCAATTATGGTTGTTTTGGTACCCAAATGAAATGCTCACCTCAAAGGCACATAGTCAAGTTAGGCTAGTCAAGATTAGCTTATGATAAACTAAGGTCCCAAATAATTACAAACCATAAATTATTTTCATTGCCTAACAGGTCTTAGCAACAAAACACATGATGTAGGCACCAAAATATTTAAATTCCTCACCAAATTATGTAAGTTATACCACCAGAATCTAGTATTAAAGCATGTGAAATGAACTTCGATTTTGCCAAGTTGATGTTCAATGGCTAATTATGTTTAGTTGTATTATAGTTTATGACTATAATGAGTATACCATCGGAGGATATACTAGTTTTTTCTTCTCTATAGTGATACCTAAACATATGAGTTATGGGTGAAAGCTAGGGTTACCGATTCCTATACTCCTCTCACCTCATTCTCCCATAATCTTCTCCGTCTACAAAATAGGAACTTCGCATGGTATCAGAACATTATGCTTAGGGTTTGCATCTTATAGCTTCTTCCTTCTATTTTTTTTTTTTTTTTTCAATTTTGTTTAACTTTGTTGTTGTTAAGCGTGGTTTGCACATGAAGTTGGGCAAGAGAGAAACAAGATTAATAGTGATCATTGGTATCAAAGGCTAACAGTGCTAACAACATTGCCAGTTTTTAGTTTGTTGATGTTGGACTTGATGCTATAATATAATCAACAACATTACGAGTTTGGTCTTTGTTGCATTCATCAATGTTGATGTTTCGTGGCTGATTAGATGATTTGCCGATATGCATAATAAAGGTACAATGAGTCATTTTCTTTTTGGGGCAAGTGTTGTCATTGTTACTCGTCGCCTTCATTTCTCATTGTGGTTGCCAAGATATCAGTGAGTTTCAAGCTTTCGTCGTTGGCGTCTTTATCAGTTGTGGGTTTCAGTTTTTCCGGACTGCCTATGTTCTTGTATGCTTGTCGTCAGTGCTTATTGTAGTTAATGGCGTGTGTGTTGATTATCGTCGTTGAAGTTTTGTTCCCTATTCTTCTTCGGGGACACAATCTTGGGTCGCTTTTTATCAAGGCCATTACAAATTTGACTAGGTTCAAATCACTATCCATCTGGTCCAGGCATATTTAGACCGGTTTTATAGTTTTATTTTTTTTCGATAGGAAATAATAACTTTTATTAAAAATAATAAAAAAGAAAATTACAAATCCTATGTAGAGTGTATAAGGTATCCGGCCTTAATATAGGTAAAAATAAACATAAAAGTGTAAATCACGCAGTGACACAGAAAAGAGAATATTCGCAATTTCCTTAGACACTGATGACCAAAATAAAGCAAAGAAAAATATCGTGTCCCATAATCCTTCCACCTCCTCACTTTTATCCTCAAAAATTCTCACATTCCTCCAACCAAAAAACTCAAATAATAGCAAAATAAGTGCCCGCCAATGAGTCTGCCTCTTTTTATTTCCTCTTTCCTCCCCAACCAATAGCATCCAAATCAAGCATTGAAGCCATGGATCTAGTCTCCACCCAACAAAGTCCCATAAAATTAAAAAACTTGTTCCAAAGTATGAATGCCATGGAACAATGCAAAAATAAATGATCCACACTCTCACTATCATTTCTACACATTACACACCATTGAGGGAGAAAACAAGTCTTAGGTCTCCTTTGAAGCACATTGTTAGTGTTGATCTTCCCATAGGCTATCATGGTTTAATAGTTCTTTGACCTGGAGGCTTCTTTCTATTTGGTTCATTGCTTCTCAAGTTAGCTTCTTGCCAATTTAGTTGTAGGACAGCATGTTCAGATATATTTATTGTTAATTCAACCTTCTAAAGATCGGCTCAACCCCGATTCATTGCCCTACAACTTGGTTTCAATTTTGATTCACTACTCTACAGCCTATTTGAGAAACCATGTAAATTTGAGAAAAGCAACCTAACTCATAATTTGCATGACATCATTCTGCTCAAGGACAATAAGATGCTCAAAAGATAAAGTTTTATCTTTCTTCATTAGTTTCTTATTGTTGATGAATTAATTAGCTAAACCAATCCTAATCAAGACAGCCAAAAAAATTATTTAAAAAAAAAAAAAACAGCCTCCTACTGAATAACAAAATTACATTCAGTCTCAGACTTTGCTAAGATCACAATAAGAGTTGACCTTTTAATATCTAGACTACTTACTCCCAACCACTGATATACTTGATAGAATTCATTGAATTCATGTTCCTATGGGTACTCCCAATCAAACAAATGTTCCTAGGGGTACTAGTATGAAATTAGCCTATTAACTTTGAGATTTCAGATTATGACATGCTAGCCACATCGTTCTTGACAGTCAATCTTAAAAAAAAAACTGAATCAGATAAATATGCTCTAAAGACTTAGATTGCTTCTTTGTTATCGACATCAACTTCCGGTCATTTGCTCACTTCAGTGCACCCCAAACATTGTCCTTAGTAACCATAACATTCACATAAATCCATGAATTTCTCCTTCGAAGCATTGTAAGTACCATTGTCGTTATTGTTGGAAGGTGTATGTCAAATAATGGAGATAAAGATGAGAGGTATAACTAGACACATTCACCTCGTCACAAAGACACAACAAATCTACATTATTGAAATGTCTAACAATCATTTCAGAACTTTCAATATAAAAATGTCATGCAAATTTGCTTTCCTTGTTACAAACCGATTGAACCCCGAATAGCACTCAATCACACCTAAAAACGCTGACCTCCAAAAAACACTTCACAATCAAGAAAACCCTTTTTGATATTGTAGAATATATCATGATACCAGGTATTCTGAGAACACTTTTCTCCATTCACTCTACATGCAGAGAAGGTTAATTAAAAATCGAGAAAAAAAATCCAGAAGTCTAACAATCAATTGTTTGACCCTAGAAATCCCTATCTTCAAAACAAGAGTTGATCTAAACAATCATAGACTCAGAAGAAAAGAACTCCTCAAATTCATTGTGCTAAATAATAGAACTTATAACATATGCGAATTCACAATAAAATTTTCAGTCAATGACTTATGCCAACACAAAAATTTCAATTGATTGACAATAGAAAAGGCAGTAAATTTCTTCAGCTGCGTATTATATCATGGACAGCTAGTCAGTATACCATAATTATTGACAGTCAATTATTCCGAAAAAAAATTAATTGAAGTTATACCGAAAACAAGAAAACTGAAGAGTCAATAAAAATGGACAGTGAATTAGATATCATAATCACCAACAGCTTCAAAAAAGTACGATGTTGAAAGAACACAAATTTCAAATAAATAACAGAGATCCACTTAATAATTTCTAGAAAATTATGTTATAAACTGATGGGACTTTTCTGAGATACTCCATGATGAAGACACGTGTCCTCGGTATTACCAAAACACTGTTGATAAGATAAAGCACCATCGGCGCGCAAAGGTCCTCGCCTCCGAGGTACTCGTCATATAGGATCATGCATTCAGTATATTTTACAACCAACACGTGGCCTCGGCCTGATATGTACCTCGGTCGGCATACCTCCCTCGGTCCCCGAGATGAGCCTTTCCTCGGTGCCGAGAGGTATCCCGTCCTAGACGCTTCCTCTACTCCAGGATAAGCTATTGACGTACAGGTCATTAGCCTAGGCTAGTCTAGGCTATTCATCATGACCTCGTCTTACACAATCAGTGTCATAACGTACTGGAATGCAGGGGTCACAGCCATTAAGAGATGGACGCGTGGCAAATGATATCACATCGAAACAGAGAAAACGCATGCCGTTGCTGACACGCGACTTGGGAAAGCAAACAATTAATTGCACCATTCCCTTGATGAGACCGCATTCAATGCGGTAAGGCTCGGAAATGAAAGGCAATAAATGCTCCTATTACAGAGCATTTATTGCATCCTCCCCGAGAGGAACACATTGTACCGTCAGCATCCCGATGACAAAGCATTGATTGCTCGGGACCCCGAGCATTTAAGAAGAGAAGACATTCCTCATCAGAATCAGTGCGCACACTATCTATACCTAATGATCACCTACTAACTACACTGACAGCAATCATGAGCTTTTGAGGTATAAATACTCCTTGCAAAAGGCAAGACGGATATGCAACAACAAACTCTTTACTACAATACACACTCAGTGTTTTCTCCTTCCTCTCTCTCTCTCTCAAAGACTGACTAGATCGTCGGAGGGGATACGCCGAAAAACACTCCAACGCCCTTCTAACTTGTTCTTCTTTGTTCCAGGAACCTCTTTCAGCCCTACAGGATCGTTCTTCCTTTCTCAGGGTCTCCCGTTGCCGTTCCAGGTTACCACCGTACCTTGCAGGCTGTCCCAAGCAGCGTGTTTGGTCATTCAACCGGCTCACTCGAGTGCACCACGGGAGAGATCTGTTCTCGTTTTTTATATTGTGCAGGATCTTGCACGCACATAAACAATGAATTATCAACACTAACACCTTCCTAAAAAGTGTAAGAACGACCAAGAAATTAGGAAATTCACTGAATTTCCATGAATCAAAAAGCACATAAAATTATCTTGAATTATATTGAAAAATGAGCTTATTGACTAGCCTGAGTAATATTTCAACACATTGAAAAAAACGCCCCACTTATTAATTCTCATTTTAGTATTCCAAATAGACTCTTATCCATTATTAACATCCTTCAAAACAATACAAAAACCCTCAAAATTAACACAATCTCTGAAGTTTTCAACAAACTGAAAACGACGCATATGAGAATTCAACTAACTTACAATGAGAAAAAAAAAGTGAATCTCTTACTTGCGAAACATCTTCAGCTATGTTGAGGCCTTTGACTTCCGTTTGTGGCTGAACAGACACAGCTTTGCAGACTATCGGAAAACAGACGTTGTTAGACTTCTTGAGACTCAGATAAGTGAGCCCAGGACGCCACCGTTTCAAGAACCGAGCTTCGAGGCACAACTCCGCCTTCGAGCTGTATACAGACGTCAACGGTTTGTTGATCAAAGACGCCATTGCGCTCCCTCTCTCTCTCGCTCTCGCTCTCGCCCTCTCCCACCAAGTGCAAGTGTTGTTGACGATATCTTTCTGAGATGATGTTGTCAAGGCGATAATTGATGCGGGAAAGGAAAAGGTCAAGGGACGTCACCTTAAAATAAGAAAGCTACGACGTCGTAACAGTGAGTCAACGAGCTCTCTGGTGCACGAAAGTAGCGGGTTTTGCAGAGAGATTCCAAAGTATAGCTTTTGTTTCATTTTAGTACTCAATTTTTTAATTACATCATTTTCGTTTATAAGGTATTGAATATATTTTTATATAGTCTCTCAAGTAAATATTATCCAAATTACTAGAAAAATTTTATCATAAATTTATCACGTGATACATAAATATGAACAAAAAATATATTGTCTAGCTCTTGATAAAAAAAATGTGTAATATGATAACTCTTGACCAAAATTTGGATACCTCGTGATTAAAATTATGTAATTTATGTAGCTCTTTAATCAAATTTTGGATAAAAATTTGATCAAAAATTATCTAAATTATTTTCTTTCCTCATATTTAGATATCGCCAAACAAGTTTATAATTAAAATCGTTAGCAAACTGGATGTAGTATATTTGAGGGATCACATAGAAATATATTTAATATTTCATGGATCAAAATGATAAAATTAAAATATTATGGATCAAAATGAAATAAATCTCATATTTTAAGAACTTCTAATGTTGTGCGCGATGATTTCTATATAATAAATAATTGACAGATCTCTCACTTAATTAACACGGGTTTACCTAGGAAGCCAGAGGTTCCGCAATAAGTGAATGTTGAGAAATAGTGATGAAGCTCTGTGCAAACTATCTGGTCACCTTTGAGTTATCAAATTAAGTCCTATCAAAACGAAATGTTAGAAGAGCGTCAGAGTGTTTTTTGGCGTGACTCCTCTAACGATCAAGTCAATATGCGAAGAGAGGGGTGGAAAGACACTGGTCTATTGCTTGGGTGAGATTTCACATATCTTAGACTTGTGTTTGTGAAAGCTATTTATACCTCAATGGAGTTAATCATTGCGGACAACTAGGTCCCTTGGGGAGAAAACTCCTCATTGGCCCATTGGAAGACATCTTATAGCGCACAGTCCTTGTGCAGAGCGCCTTCCTCTTCACATGAGAGAAGTTTTTTGTATTTAATGGTTAGATCCCCTAGCATTTAATGCTTGCCTTTTTGGGTTCGACGAGCAATAAATATGCCCCATCCTTCTGAGGGATTATTTAATGTTCCCCATTGTGGCTGCGCATGCGTGAGGATATTTTCGTCTATTACCGCCCAAGGGGCTAACACTTTAGAGCTTTACTCCTCTTGTGCCCTTATCATTGGCCAACAGATTGTCTCTCCTGTCATCCTGATAGCCTAGGAAAGAGGGATGAATGACTGACAACAAACTTTGCTCCCAAGTCATGATAACCGTCAACACATTACGCACCGCCCGCATGGGAGATATTAAGCCGAAGTGACGTGCCAAGTGGGGGGAGTCCCTCGGGGAACCTGAGACGCCAAGGACAGGTGTTGGGCGATGAAGGCTCTGGGGGACCTTGGTGAAAAGGACACTTGTCACAGAGAAGGTGCTCCAAAGGTTCTCGATGCCAAGGGGACGTGTCGAACACCAAATGCCTCAGGGCCCATGTATGTCGAGGACACGTGTTAATTGCAAAAGAACTCTGAGGGCATCAATGTGGAGGACACGCGTCAACCCCTATAAATCTCCTAATACGTTCCAGCAACTACCCCAAAGCCCTTGATCTCTGTACGAAAACGGATGATGTGGCGGAGGGAGATGAAAGGGTTTGATCCTTGCCTCCTTGTGAAGTCATTTCCCTTTCCTTAGGGCTTGCACCTCATTTAATGCGCCCTTCTCATTATTTGTGAGCAATGATGGGCCTTGGCCCTATTTAAATAGAGAGTCCTCATTCCTCTTCCACTTTTACAATTTTCCTAATGCAATGCAATCTGATCCGTTGAGCATAAATGGAGGTCCTATAACTCAAGCGAAAGCGAAAAGGATGAAGAAAACATTGAATGAGTTGATTCAAGTCTCTTTGGAGGCTTTTCAACCATAGCATGCATGGGCTTTAAGGGAAAAAGGCCTCAAGTTTATTTTAATCTAATTCAAGTCCAACAAACCTGATTAAGTGGTTGTATGGGCTGATTTAGGTTATTTAGGGATTTTGGGCTGATTACTTGTTTTAAGCCCAACTTTAGTTATTTCTATTTGGGTTTGGATTGTCAAAATATAAACTCCTTTTAGGATTTGTCTCCTTAGCAGATTAGGATTTGTTTCCTTTTCTTATTTGGATTAAGACAACTTAGCTAAAAAGTAAGAATTAGGTTGTTGGCTGGTTTTGGCATGTTTTAGGGTTTTATATACACACATAAGACCTTGTAAAATACAAAATATCATTTTTTATGAGTATTGTGAAGTTTTCTACCTTATTGTTCTTCCAAGAACTATTTCAAGAACTTATCAAGAATCAATTTTTCTTGTGGCATTCATCAACTTATCACTCAATCTTGAGTGTGACATTTTTTTCTTGAATTTTTAACCTTGGGTTTTTGTTTCTTGAAAACATTGGATCTAGGGTTCTTAGTCCTTATAATCTGATTTGTGAACTTTCTTGGGGATTCTTCAATCAATTTGCATGCGAGTTCTTGAATTCGTTTAAGGGTTCGTATCATTTCCAGCACTTAGAATCCCTTGATTCTAGCAAACCCTTGACCGGAGTTTCTGTTAACCAGCAAAGGACCCATCTTCATTAGCAAATAAGCCACCTCCATTTCCACTTTCACTGGCGAGGAACGCAAGCCATTGTTCCCCCACCTCCGGTGAATCTCTATCTATTTGGTGAGTGACTGCCCCTATCCTCTTTCTTACTAATGATTGTTCTCCTTCTACCTCTCATTCTTTTCTTCTTTTTTAGCAATCTCGTACCACTGTCACCCCATCTTCATCAAGCCATCCTTAGGAACCCACTTACGAGTCTCTCTTTCTGTCCATTCCATGACCAGGCGTCGTAGGGATCAGAACGTCGGGGCCGATGAGGCTAGTCCCTCGAGGTTGAGGAAATATATAATTAAGGGTCACCAACATATCACAAACTTTAAGACCCACTACTCTATACTTCTCGGGGTTAGTGTAAATGACTTTGTGCCTGGTCTCCACAGTGCCACCGTCGGCACCAAGGAGACTATGCCTTTCTATACCAAAGTCATCATAGAAGGTGGCATTAGATTTCCCCTCCACCCCTTCTTCTTTGTTTCCTATCTTGATTTTTCCTATTCTTGGGACAATGTTGCCTGAACACCTTTAGGATCATCATGGGGGTGGTGCCTTGAATGAGCGTTTGCAATTGAATCTCAGCTTGGAGGAGATTTTTTTTCTGCTACTCCTTGGTGAGGGTGATACCACATCAGAACTTCTACCTCAAGGCCCAAGACCCCACCTTGTATCTTGTACCCACCTTCCAGACTCCAACAAGAGGCATAAGGATGACCTGCTCATCTTCGACTACTAGTGGGAGAGAGGAGTCGCCCCCGAGTATGTAGACTTGTGGTGCCCCAAGTAATGGCGGACTACAAGTACGTCGACTTTTCTCTCTCTTTTAGGCTTTTTGTCCCTCGGCACTTCTGCATTTGCTTCTAATGTTGATCTTATTTTTCTTTTTCTTTTTTTGGTTTCCTATAGGAATCTCCAACGCAAATCTACCACCCCTCCTCAGAAATCAAGTTAACCCCGGCAACAACATCACAACTTGGGGATTGATGGACAACGGATTTGGGCGAGCTGCGCACATGTTGCTAGATTACACTTTGGGGTACAAAAACGTCTTGCAAACTCCCCAACCGTTTAACCGAGCAAGGTGGTTGGCATTATTTGGGGAAAATTTAGAAGAAGAACCCAACAGAGCCACTGAAGCTGAGGTAGAGGTTACCGAAGACATAGCTACCAACGCCGAGGAATTAAGAGATCCATCCACCACCATCCAAGCCGAGGAAAGCAATTCGAGCAGAGAAACTTGGCCAGACTTCGACATCCTTCAAAACCTTGAAGAAGAAGACACTTTGGAGATTGCAATGTCTAATCCACCTCGTCTCTCTATCAACCTTATCAAAGAGAGAACTGCACTCACTGTAGGACGGGGACGTGGCTCAGGCTCTGGGGCCATTTCTTCCAACCAAGAATAGATTCGTCCTTTAGGGGAGCCTATCTAGAGGGCACCACCTCCAACGCCCCCAACTGTCGATGTCTGTGCTGACCCGACGCCACCAAGATACAGCCGAGTCCACAGTAGAGATTCTCAAATTGAGGAGAGAAAAATAAAGTAAAGGCATAATGGTGCTGGCCGCGGTAAAGGCACCCCCTACACCGACGCTGACGTCGACCCAAGATCGAGACAACCAACTAATCTGGATCGCCAACTCTCTCGTTGCCTCTCCTCACACTCCTTACACTGTGAATGAGGCACTCCACTTTGACGCCGACATGGCGATTCACCGGGGGCATGGGAGCAATCATTTATTTCGCACCCTCATCCAAAACTCATTGGTGGTAAGGCTTCAACACTTGTGAATTTCTCCTTTCTGTTTTAGCGTCTTTCTGAGTGTGACTCCTCTTCCTTTGTCTTTTAGGTGGCTTAGCAGGTGTCCGTCATTGCCAAGTGCTTCTATGCTCGTTAGTACAAGGTCCAAGAGTGTGAGAGACTCCAATCCGACCTTGAGAAAGCCTAAGGGGCTCTTGCTGCAACTAAGGAGGAGGTAGTTTCCCTAGATAGGACCCTGTTCACTTAAGGGGCCCAAAATCGCCGAGCTCTTCAAAGATAGTCAAGCTACCAAGGGAGAAGTCAACAATGTGAGACCCGATTAGGCATTGCATGCATATTAGCATAAATTTGTGGGCTAAATTACAATTATGTGAAATTATTAAAGGGTTAATTAAATTAAAATCTTTTATAAACATGACG